TACGATAGTAGCAGAGTTCGATTGATTGGTGTGATTTTAAGTGACACTGTAAAGACTCAAGCTTAACTGGTGTAGGAGGACCTCGTGTTTCCCTTCGATTATTATTTAGAGTTGACTGGACACCTGAATAGAATTATCAACATTCGGTTACATAGCTTGAATGCTTCCCAAACTGACAAATACTAAAGTTATCATCAGATATATACAATATCGATGTTTCATCTATATTTCTCTGTCCATGAAATAATAATCTAGTCCGTTCAGCAGCTTCACAAATCAACCGGTCATATCTAAAACGTATGCTGTTGTTACCAAATGGACACACTTTATAGAAGTGATGACAAAAAAAGCAGTCAGAAAATCATTCAGGGTGCATCCTTAAACAATACGTATTATAATTGTATGCATAGAACATGCATTTTACTGTTTGTAGCCAAAATCCGACTTTATCTGTGTTTTGACGTGATATACTAGCATGCAAAATATAAAAAGTCATGCATATCCCTCAAAACTTATTATGCGGAAAACCAATCTTATACAGATTGACTGCTGAACAACGCCATATATGAAACGTCCCGAAGATTCGGGTGAATATACAAAAATAATAATACGAAATGAATAAGTAAAAAGAAAAGAAATGTGAAAAAATTAAGTGCAGAATATCCTTTTTCATATTTTGTAATGTTTCAGAAGAAAGAGCCTTAAATAACATTCAGGAATGTAAAATAGAAATAAAATAAAATATAAAGTTACGCATTATTTATTGAATGTTTGCTATAAGATATTTGTGGAAATGTTGAATCTGAAATCCGTATAGTAACACACATGTATATTGATTATGTGTCGAGAAGCCTTGGGAGCATAATACTGCCACCTGTATGCTTGAACAGAAAGGGAAAAATTCCCCTGCTTGCACTTAAATAACTTATTAAAGTTTCCTCCAGAATGTTTCGAATAGCACAGTAAACTCGTTTATACTCTATACTTTTCGCACTATAATCTGAAACTAAATACAGGCCAATAATCGACTGTTCCTTTTTTATCCTTTGATAAGTAAACTTGGGAAACTACCTTGGTAAAAATTAAAATCATGATGATATGCAACAATTTTATTACCAAAATTACACATTCAAATTAACAAAAGCATGGCATGTGGTGTTATAATTTGTCTGTTAACGTCAAGGCCTATCAATCACAAATTTTACAAGCCTTCTAAGATATAAGGAACATTACTCCTTAAATCATTGCTTTTATAATAATGTCATTTTTTTTCAATTGTTCATTATCATGATTATCAAGTATTCTAAGTTTTATATTGGCGATGAGTTTTTTTCATAGCTTTTCGAAATCATTCTACTTGACAAGCAATTTTGACAAAAACAAAATAACAAGAGACTATACTTTCAGAATTATGCCCAATGTCTAACAAATGTGATTTGTCATTATATGAAAGTATTCTAAGATTCGTGTTGATGTTTTAAAAATGGCCTACAATAAAGTTTTGCATGACATCGATCAAAATAGATCCACATTTTCTTCGAAACAGACGAGCTAAATATCAAAAAATGCTTAAACATTAAAAAACATTTTACATATATTTGTTTTAGTGATCAAAAATCATCTTTAAAAACGGTATTATGCCCTCAAAGTGTAAATGATGAGAACAGTTAAAAGTTATGCAATTACTGTTTTCAAAGTTATATTTCTTTTCAAGAATAATCAATAACCCATGTGACCCACTTAAATTTCTGTTAATTTCCTTCTGAATGTATCGCTTAAGTCCACTGAGTCTTCTTATCATATCTTAGGGAGTTTAAATAATATATTACCCAAACATGTATTGCCAATAACCATTAAATAGTTTTTTGACATGATTTATACATGTATTAGTTTTGAAGAAAACCAAAAAGGTCGCTACATGCAAAACAACTATGCTCTCAGGAGGAAATGATTTTAAGATGTTGATTGTCGATGTATATTAGATGACCCACATTATAAAAAATGCAAAAAAAAAAATACAGAGAAATAATTATAATAAATACAAAAGAAGAAGCAGAAGAAATGCAAGGATATCCCCCGCTATATATGTTAAAACACTAAATAATATGAAAATAAGATGTCATGACGGGACAACATGGTTGGTATTCGTAAAAGTTTTGGAAATAAAATACAGTTTAAAGTAAGCGGACAGATAATGTCAGTTTTTTAATCCACAAGTATAAAGGATTTCAATATTTAATTATATTAAACATAAAAACAGTTTAAAAGCGTTTGGTTATTACATATTCGTAAACAACTTATTTTACTTTCAGCAAAAACTTTGTAAATAATACAGTCTAGTTTATCGAGCTTCTTTTTTAGTTTCCTCTATACAGCTCTATGAAATAGGTTACAATATAAAACAAGAAAAAAACAATAACTGGTTGAACCGGGTGATGCTCCCCGAATCGATTTTATTGATAGTGTCAGAGTTATGCCGCGGACACAATTCAAAATGACAATATGAACAAAGGGCAATAACTCCAAAATTACTTAAGTTAGAGTTACGGTTCTTGTGCACTACACATCTACCAAATGAGATTTAGCTACCAACAAAGTTTCTTGTTTATATCCATTATACTTATACAATGTTCAAAGTTTAAAAATAGACAAAGGGCAATAACTCCAAAATTAAGCAAGGCAGAGTTATGATTCTTTTGCACTGCACATCTACCTGTACCTCTTGTTGTTACAGGGTTATGTCCCTGACAAGAAAAGCGGACGAACAAGCATCGACTATATGCTCACCCTTCGGTGGGCATAAAAAATCAAAATCAAAATCAATCCTTTTGAACTAAAAACGTGACAATTTTTAAATTAAATATATATAAAAGGCCACATGAATGAGACATTTAAACAACAGAAGACTATAAATAAATACCCAAAGTTAAGCGCAATAAAGCATAACCATGTTTTAAGTTTTACATTCTGTAATACATAATATAAGGAAATTATATTTTGTTATCACAAGAATCATGGCATTCATGTCGGGAATTTGGCTTTTTCTTCTTTTATTTATTCCAAATAAGAAATAACTAAACTAGAAATTTAACCAATGACAATTTTGTAGTGGACGGAAATCCAAGACTGTTGAATTGAGATTCTTCAAAAAAGACTCCTCAACCTTAAGTAGTATTAAATGGTAGACATGGGTAGTTATAATTTATGATATTCATTCATTTATTCATTCATTCACTTTTAACATCTAAAACGGGAAAGCATACAATTCTACTTTAAAGCTTACATGCGTCTACCTGATATAACCATTATCCATCTTCTCGTAGACCTGCGTGGGTTATTTTAAAGGAGAGGACATAATAAAGAATGTACGGTTTAATAAAAGCTGCTTTAGAAATTTTATTATATGACAAAATGTAAGGATGCCGCCCTTCTTTGTTGATCTTGTTTTTCATATTGGAATATATAAACAAAGAAGCTGAATTATTCTATAGTAGTTTGCAAGTACTTTAATTTCTTCTCCCTTTCTCAAAGCACAATGAAAGTAGGGTCATCTGATTTTATGTGTTTTCCAACTGAATCTATAATAAACTTAGAATTAATGTTAATTAACAGGTATAAATGATGCTATGGTGCAGGGACGTACGGGCCAAAGTCAGTTATAAGTATGCTACATTACTGCCTCGAAAATCAGAGATTTCGAGAGAAAGCTTGCGTCATGCACGCCGATAGCTGTGGTTGTGAGTATTTTTACCGTATTTTCAATTAAATATTAGTAGAGCATTGAACATTCCAATGCGACAATTTACAAAGCATCATTTTAATTTTTAAGTTCAAATTGTGAATATAACTTGAGTAACAGCAAAGATAAAAAACAACTGAACCGGGCAAAAATGTGCGCAACACGTTATACTCTAAAAGTTCGGTGCCATTTAAGTAATTTATATGTTCAAACTTACAAGTAATTATTGGTTTTATAATGACAGCTTTCTTTTATTTTGCAGCACTTTAATACTTTTGGCGTTTCTTAAAACTGCAGCTATAATTGTTTCTATCGCGCAAGACAATTTTTTCATGAAGCCCGCTTTTATTTTTTAAAGCTTTTTATTTTTTTTAATTTTTTTTCCATTACTTACTTATCGATCATTAACCTGAACTATCGTTTGCTTCTGTTAATATTTGGCAATTTAGTTTGATGATATTGATTTAATAATTTGTATGACAGTCAAAATTAATACTACTTAATTTACAGAAAATCAAACTTAATACAAACCATATCAAGGATTGAAGCAATGTATAAAAACAAGTATTCATAACATATATTGGGCTGTTTGAATATTTGATTATATAAAATATAATTGAATCCAGTTATCTTGCCATTTTTCCACTAAGTCTCTTTCCATACTTTGATATAGTTTAGTCTGGTTTAATTTGCTGATGCGAGGGTACATCATCATGTGTGAAGACTTGACAATGATTTTTTATATCTCTTTCTAAGTATTAATGAAAACAAAGCTTTAATACGTATGTGCGTTGCTTAGATTAAGGGAGCTTAACGTCATTATGTACAGACGTGACAGACATAGAGAGTTGCTTCCCTTGTATACCAGAATATTCAATCTTACGCGTTCCAAAGTTCAGGTTGAGACAGGTTGAAAGAAAGGTAAGACACATTTTTATTTTGTTTCCTTCAAATTGTAAAAAAGAACTTTATAATCATTTTTCTCTATTTAGATTTAATATTTCTACCTTTCATGTAAATACAAATATAACAATACTAAAAAGTTAAATCATCTGAAATTTGGTGCTATTTTGGTACAAAAGAGTATTATTTATTCCAATAGAAATAGGGCACTATCTATTAAAGAATTCATCGAGTTATACCTGTAAACCAAGTAACAATAAAATGTCGCGTAGATCATATTGGTTTAACAATCAATCGATATGTTGAATAAGTAGCATATTAGATATAATCGGTTGTTGCCTAAACAAAATTGTTTAAAATCGCTGCCTTTTAATTCAGTAGACAATGGTTACCCGTGATATATCCTATACTTTGATCATATCAAGTTCGTCATGAAAGAGACAAATAAAATGTAGAATGGATATAGTATATAAAAAGAAGGCTTTTCCGGCGGTATAAACTCTCAAATTGGATACCCGAAAAGGTAATGATATTGCTTTCATAAAACCCCATTGGATCACTCACTTTAGATCTGATCATCTGGACTAAAATATTCGAGTTATAATTATTAAGGTGTTTCTTAATTACGTATATCCATGTGAAACATTAAAAGATTTAACATATAAATAACATTGTGACTGTAACTGTCAGCTAATTTCAACTTTATACTATGTTAGTTAGGAAATAGATATCAATTCTGAGTGCATTGTTGCAGAATAATGCATGGTTTGAGTTCAAATGCGTATTAATTCGCCTATCGGCCTTCGTGATTATATTAATACGCATTTGAATGAAAAACGTGCATTATTACACAATAATGGACGAAGATTTAATATCTATTTCCATTCTAACTCGTCATGTAAAATATAATAATTACTATATAGTTGGACTTTACGTTTGGTGATTTAATTTGTTTTCGCCTCAGAGTTTCCAATAGAAACGTTCTTTAAAGGCTGTTCCAGTGGGTTGAAAAAACTGGCTGAAATCTACCGTTTGAAGAAACATTTTGAGAATAACGAATATTGAAAACGTTGATAAATTTTTGTTTGTTTATTTTATTTCTCTGTATATTTTTCAAGCGAAATACAAAGTATTAATAGCGAGCTCGACGAGCTGACCCGAAGGGTCTGCTCGCAAAGCGAGCTTTACGGTAACGCGAGTACCTGCTAAGTGATGGTTTCCGAAAAACCGAATTGGACACATCGCAACTTTTCGAGTTTAAAGATAACGATAAAAACTAAGGAATTCTGACTGAAAACGGATGTGTAGACTGGTCATCGCGCACGTCTATTGGAACCATAATTGGACGGGGAACCACAATAACGGAAGCTGTGTATAAAATATCGAATGACAGTTTTAAAACGGAAAATGAAAAATGAAAATTGAAGGCGCCATTTTGTTTGAAAAATCTGATAAATAAAAACATTTTTTGTCGAATTTTGTTGTGAAAACTATCTAGAATGAAAGAAAATGGTCTAACTAAGAAAATGAATCCGAACACCAATATCTTTTATTCAGTCGTTAACGCTGTACAGACGTTTAAAGTATTGTTTACGTGACGTCACAATGTAGCGCCAAACAGCACGTGCAAAACAATCAAATCAAGTACGCTATTTTAATGTCGCAAACCTTTAAAATTTACATTTATTGAACTTTTAATAATCTTTATTTCTCTTGAAAAATTACATAGTGAAAAAATAAACACCACACAGTTTTATCAACGATTTCATTTAACGACAGGGGCGGAGCCATATTAAACACAGTACGTGTGACGTCACACGCACTCGTCACTGCATTTGAAATAAAAATGAGAGATTATTTCATACTATTTCAAGTTAAAAGTACATCGAACTCGCTTTGAGGCTTTGCCTTTTTCATATTAGTGAAATAAATGTGAAATTTAACTCGTTTTCGACATTGAAAGATTCGATTGTGTTTGCACGAGCTGTTTAGCGCTATATTGTGACGTTACGTAAACAACACTTTAAACGTCTGTTCAGTGTTAACAACTGATTTAGAAATATTGGTATTCTGATTTATTTTCTTAGTTAGACCATTTTCTTTCATTCTAGATAGTTTTCACAACAAAATTCGACAAAAAATTGTTTTTTTTTTATTTATCAGATTTTTCAAACAAAATGGCGCCGTCAATGTGTCGGTTTGAAAATACACAGGGGGGGGGGGGATAATAAGAACGGCGATTGCATTGTTGTAGAATAATGTACGCTTCCGGCCTTCTTTGTTTATATAGAAACATTTCCGATTGTGTTAGAATATGAAATTGTTACACCGCTGTATTATTGTAGATGTCTTTTTCAGACAAACATGGATGTATCCCGAAAAATTATTGCTGAAACGAAGCAGAGCCTGGAATTATACTGCCTTCCATGTGATCAAGATGGTTTGAAAGTGTCGGTTCATGGATATTGTCGAGACTGCAAGGAATACCTCTGCAAAACTTGTTTTGAAAATCATACAAGGCCGAAGCCATGTAGGAATCACATTCTGCTTGATATAAACGACATGCCAGATCAACGAACGACTGTTAATATAAATGAAAAAGCATATTCCGAAAACTGCACCAACCATATGGATAAACAACTGGAGTTCTATTGTAACAATCACAAAACTGTGGCATGCTATGTCTGTGTTGCACTTGAACATAAAGAATGTAAAGCAGAATATATTCCTGATATGCCAGGAAACGTATCTCGTGAGTTGACAGATTTGGACAAAAAGGTGGAAGTATTAGTCAAGAAATGTGAATATAACATTATGAAGGCTTCAGCTGCTAAAAAACAACTAGAACAAAGTCACGGAAAAGTTGTTGAGGACATACGGCTTTTTAGGAAGGAAATAAACGACAGTTTAGATCAGATTGAATCGGTGATGATGACAGAAGCTGAAGCTGTTGTTAAAACAGCAAACTTCAAATTGGAGAATATTATGGTTGCTTGCGAAAAATTAGCCGGAAAGGTGACAAGTTTACAGTCATTTCTTAACGCCTTGATGGAGGAAAACAAGCCTCATAAGATTTTCACTGAATTGAAAAATGTCGGACCACATTTCATGACACTAGAGAGTGAAGAAATACAGATTGTCAAAGATAATATGGCATTTGACAACATTCGATTTGATCGGAACGGAAAGCTACTTGAGCAGCTGAAAAGTGAGAACAGCTTTGGAACAATTTCAACATACAGAAAACCATCAGCAGATACTGAAATATATGTCAAATATGATAGATCGCTCAACGTGAAATTTCCTTCTGATAAATCGCAAAGTAATGTTGTTGGGATGGCAATGGTTTCTTCCACTCGAATGATCATTGCTGATTATAATAACAACAAAATTAAAACAATAGATGTAGAAACTGGAACGCTGGTGTCAGAGAAAACCCTGACTTCAGCACCACTCGATGTTACAAAACTTCCAGAAAATAAACTTGGCGTTGCTTTACCTAACGAAAGGTGTATCCAGATAATGTCTTATACCGATACAAGTTTGCCTTTAGATCGTCGCATAGATGTAGGAGAAAGATTTTTTTGTGTAGCTTATTGTCAGGACAAGCTGGTAGTGGGCAGAAATTGTAATCCAGGGAAGCTGGTTATTCTTGATTTAGACGGACAAATCATACAGGTGTTTGATACTCCTGGATTGTTTGATGGACCTAAAAGGATTGTTATCAGCAGAGATGAGATGTTCATGTATGTATCTGATTACTCTCGTAGCAAAGAAAGCAAGTGTGTAAAGATAGACTGGGAAGGTAATGTTGTGCAAAGATTTGAGGATCAAGGATGTGAAGGCCCTATAGGAGTACAAGAGTTGGAAGATGGTACTTTGTTAGTTTGCTTATACTCAAGTCACAAAATTGTCAGATTGTCGAGCAGCTTCAAAGAATGTAAAATCACTTGATTAGAGGACATAAACCTTTCCTATCAACAAATTGTAACATACAGTGAAAGTAATCACACGTTATATGTAAGTTGTTCTTTTGAGCACGAAAATGTTTTAAAGCATACAATAGAAGTATTCAAAATGTGAGATGGATAATTGGTATGTTTTAAATGTGAATATATGCTGCAATGTTGTAAATTGTATATGATCAGTGATAGTCACATTATATCATTGGGAACATACTAAATACAAAATTATATATCGTTATCAAAGTTGGTTTATCTTGGAGATATAATAGATATCCATCCAGTTGTTAGAAAAATGTATAATAATGAAAGAAAATATCTTTTTTCAAATAACTGATAAATGGTGATTGTCATTTATATATCATTTTAAAGAACACATTTTTTATTACGTATTTACTTGTCCAGTAAATATTTGCTTTTCGTATTTAAATAATACTTCTGCTTCGAAGTATTTACATTTAATTGATATTTCTGCTTTGAAGAAGTGTAAAACCTATTTTTCTTGTCTTTTCGTAAATATTATTTTGTTTTATTTATAATTACTATTAAAAATTAGTTTTGTCTTTTTTGATTCGATGGAGTAAGAATGTGTCAATACATATAATAGATTTGTAATAATAACTAATTGATTAACGATGACTTTATCGGTGATTTTGAAATTGTTTTACTATTTATATGCCACATGGTTTGATATCAGCTGTATATGAAAGCATTTTTTGACCTTCGATATTTATTATCTTGCAGAATCTTCACATTCTTAATGCTACATTTCATATTAATAAACAAGAAAAATATTACATACATTCGTATTCGTATTCGTATCAATACACATGTAGGTGTGAACTAATTTCGTGTTCATTAAAATTATTCCGGTAATAGACATATAACAATCTTATTTACAAATTGTAAAAGTGAATTGATAAGACAACGATCCCAGAAGCATTTAAGGTAATAACAATCATTGAGAAAAAAATAAATGCATATAAATTGTAAATTTGTGTATGACAACTCACCCCCTAAACAAAACATAATAGACTCAACCAAAACAAGCGTCTGCTTCTTTACCTAACTATGTAGTTGCATGACCATGATTAGCAATAGCAAAATAGAGAAAAACAGAATCCCTTAAGAAAGCCCAACACGACAAAATTGAAAAACCAAGTTTAAGAGCTAAAGCTATTATAAAAATTATACTATGGCCACAGCAGATTTCGAACAGAAAAAACTTCTTTAAACAATAGGAGGTTTACCTCATTATTTGTATATTATATTATGTCTTGTGATAGTAAATTTGCGTGCTATGTAGTGCTGTTTTTGCCAATAATTACAGTATATAAAATTCATGTTTATATGATGTATGATGTACTGAGATGAATAAATTTGATTGATTTGAAGTGGAATTTCGTTAATCATTCGTTTATTCAGTTCAATTGAGTTGTTTACAATAATACATATACACGTAAATGAAATAAAATGTGAGAAAAAAATAGGGTTACACAAGATTAAAAGATTTAAAATTGGAAGTAAGTAATTTGATTAAGGTATCAGACACAATTAATTTCGCGCCTAATTGCGTTCTAATAGCTAAGAAATATTATCGCCAAGGATTCGCCAATTAAATCTGCATAACAGAGTCTTTACAAATATCTAAACTGATGAAAACATTAATCAAAGTAATATATTAAAGAAACTATAACAAGATTGCATTTGTAATAAAAATCCTTTGCCACCAGAACAATGTAACAAAAGAAGTATACCCTTTTATTTGTATACATTTGAACTTTGCCATAATGTAAGAGGGTCTAGTGAATTTTGGGGTCAAGATCATAGTTGAGCATTTAAAATGAAAGGCAATGCGCAGATGTGTCTCTTTTCATATACAAAGGCCATGGTGTAAAATTGATTCAAAATACAATAAGAATTTTGTTATTTACAGTATTATTTAGCTGTATTAAACTTTGAAATGCAGTTGCAGTAAATTTCTTAAATACTATCTTTTCCATTAATCTTTACCTATTTCTGGAAACATAAAAATACATTCATAATTTAAAATCATCTTTACATAAATGTTGTAAATAATAATTTCCTTATAATGGGCTCATCTCTTTCATAAATATCCTTGCAAAGCAAACATTACTCTTTAGGTCATGATCTCTAATCATTTCTAAAGATAGAATCTTTGAAAGCAAACATCTCTCTTGTCATTCAAGGCCAGATGCATGATTATTAGATTAGAGCGTGTTTATAAAGTAATAATACAAAGACGGTAGATCTCACCATATGTCGACATAAAATATTTTAGTTGTAAATTGCATATGTTATGACTATATTGATTGTGGATACAATTTAATATAAACGTAAAGCTGAACTTTTGATTGATCTACTCTAAACTTGTTTAATATCGATTTCTTTGCAAAGTGGGGTAATTAAATAATATGATAAAGCATATCAATATCTGACGGAAAATCAATCTTCCATTTGTACATTGTAATTGATTGACATTTATTTCATTTGAGGAAATATATATTTCTAACGTAAAATGGTTGGTTACAGCAGTTGAAAACATTAGATATATATCTTTTAATCCACCAATTCTGATGAGCATAACATATGTTACAAACAGGTCATAGTACATACAATCAAATACATATGGTAACATTTGTAAATTGAGTAACATGCATAAACATGGTACACTTCAAATATTATAGAACATATAAATTACAAGAGTTTCATGAATATGTCGATAGTATAAATGAATATATTAGCGAAAGTTAAATCGAAAGCATATATTCTACGTTATACAACCGAATCAAAATTCATTACAGAACAGAACATTATCTTAAGTCTAGTTTCGAAACGAAAGTACTAGAACAAAGAAGATGTATTTCAATTCATCAACAACACACATGTACAATAAAAGTTGCCAAATTGAAGGAGAGCATCCATGTATATTGGCATTTATGTAACATAAACAGACGGTCTCTATGCAATCAAAACATAGGCGAAGACTTTCATCTTTTATTATATTTTCAAAATCTTATTATGGGATGAAATCTCAATAAAACAAAGTTTGAAAGTTTAATGAACACTAATCTTTCTTATGGTGTGGTATGTAAACAATTTTGCATATTTTTTTGAATTTTGAATTTTATACAAATATTGTAAAACAGAAACAAGCTTCAGACTTTTCTGTCTGTTCATTAAGGGCTCATTTGTGTGATCAACTTTACAAATTTACCAAATGAAAACCTTAATTGATCTAAAGTTGTGTTATTAATATCACTGTGTTACTTACTTTTCCATCATAAACATTGATAGATTCAACCAAAAGATATAACATATATGGTCCTTTATATTTGGTTAGATATGGTTACAAAACAGTCTAAGTATATATTGTCTTCTTTTAGAAAGAAATGGAGAAATGTTGGAAGACCACTAGTGACACAAAGCCAAACTCGAACTTAAAGTGCCCTCCATATGATAAAGATGGTTTAGGCGAGTCGGCTCATGGATATTGTCAAGCATGTTTTCAGTTTGAAAGATCACTTAATGTGAAATTTCCCTCTGATATATCACAATGTAATGTCTGTGGGATGGTAATGATTTACAGCAACACAAATGATCGTCGCTGACTACGGGAATAAGAAAATTAAAATGATTGATGTAAACAAAAGGACCATGGTATCAAATGTAACACTATCTTCAGGACCGATGTAATAAAACTTCCAGGAAATAAACCTGCTGTCGCCTTGCGGTTTGAAAACTGTATCCAGATGATGTCTTACACTAAACGAAGTTTGACACAAGAGCGTCATACAGGTGTTATTGTGTAGCTTATTGTCGGGGCAAGCTAGTAATAGGTTGTAATTATAATTCAGGAAAGCTGATTATTCTGGATTTACACGGAAATATCATACAGGTGTTTGATACACCTGGATTGTTTGATTCGCCTGCAAAACTTGTTATCAGCAGTGATAAAAAGTTCTTGGCTACTCTACAAACAAGTTTATGAAGCGGTAAACGTAAGGTAATGTTATACAAATATTTGAGGATCCAGGATATGAAATACCAACAGGAATACAAGAGTTGGAAGATGGTACGTTGCTGGTATGCTACAGAGACAGTAGCAATATTGTAAGATTGTCGAGCAGCTTCAAGGAATGCGAACTTGTAGAATTAAACAAAATAAACCTTCGCTATCCAAAGGCTGTTACATATAATAAAATTGATCACAAATTGTATATAAGCTCTTCTTCTGATCAGCGGTATACTACAAATGATACAATTAAGGTTTTCAATACAAGATTTTTGTAAGCGCCAGAAAGATCATTATGTGTAAATGTATTTGAATACTTGCTGCAATGTGTGTACTAAATATTAGGCTTTAAAATTAATTTGTCACGTCTAAAAATAATATAAACGTATAAGTATATTATATACTAAAGAAAATAAATGTGACCATTAGATGTTTCAAAGTTTTATTTCCACAATTTAATATGATAAATTGTGCTGTCTGTTATAAAAAAAGACCTGAAAGATATACAATGTAGATGCATAATTTTTGCAATCGAAAGTTAAAGTAAAGGCGTACAGTTACAATTACACAATGAGCATAAGAAGCACATACAAAACTCAAATAAAGATTTATGAGAGATAAGATTTTGTCTTTTCACTCCCTCCAATTGTTTCTTCTTCAAGTTAAAAAAAGAATTTACAATATTGTAAGTAATTTGCCCTTTACTGTTGACTCCACTAAAGGGAGGGTAGAGTCAAAATAATGTTAAGGTAAGTGGTGTAAAGAAAATTAGGAAAAATGCATTGAAACAGGCAATGGTGGTAAGATGAGTATTCAACAAACCGATCTTTATTTAATTAGAAGAAAATTTCACAGTGAGACTATGATATACAATCAAAAACCCAACACACTGTCACTTTGTTGTGAACAGAAATTTATCCTGTGTAACCGCCAGGCTCGAGGTTTCCTGCCATAAATATACCTATATGACATGCAAGTTATATATATGGTTATACGTTTTAAATGTTGTCTTAGTAATTAAATATGCTAGAGCAATGTTTAATGTATCGTGATGATTAATATTTGAGTTTAAGCTATAACTGACATTTTTCGGTTTATTTGATTAAATAATACGGAGTTTTGTTTTGTTAAAAATTCGGTTAAATCTTCCCATTGTGACGAGACACTTAAATGAAGTTGCTATTAACGGTACATCAAATAGAAACATATGTCTAATAATTATGCCTATAATTCACACAGCAATGTCATACAACATCACGTACATTACATGATTCTGCAATTGTTTGATAAACATGAGGAAATACGTTGTTTATCAAATCTGCATTAATTTTCTTGGCAATAATCTTTCTTCTACGTTTTTAAACATTGCAAAACATCTTGTAATGTTAATAATGCAATGAACTATTTTGATTAACCTTTCAGCAAAGTTATATTGATAATGTGACAAGAAAGTTATCTCGCCTGGGCGTTTCTTTGTTAAATGTTAGTTTAATGTTCTGTACACCGAAAAATAATTTTAGAGGAGTTGAAAAAAAGTGATATAATCATAAATTTTTTGGCATACTACAAACATGTTTTTGCCTTTTCAGAAAATCAAAAGTAATACAAACCGTATCAAGGATTGAAGCAATGTATAAGTATTCATAACGCATGTTGGGCTTTTTGAATATTTCATTATATAAGATATTGAATTCTGTTATCTTGCCATTTTTTCTACTTTGTCCCCAGGGTTCCATAAGTGATATAGATATGTTTTGTTTCGATGATGCGAGGGTACATCATTATGTGTGAACGATTGACAACGATTTTTACTTCATCATTATTTTATATCTCTTTCTTAGTATTAATAAAAACAAAGATTTAATACGTTTGCATGCTGCTTAGATTTTAAGGGAGCTTAACGTCAATGTGAACGTGAAAAAACAGAGAGTTGCTACCTTTGCGTATCAGAATATTCAATCTTCCGCGTCCAAAAATTCAGGTTGAGATAGTAAAAAGAAAGGTATTAAATTTTCATTTTGTGTCCTTGAAATTTTAAATCATATTTATATGAACTCATGAACATTTACTTAAATGATTAATCATTTTTTGGCTATTTAAATGAAATAGCTCTGCCTTTAATGTAAAGACAAATAAAAGAATACTAAAAAGTTATTTCATTGACATTCGATCTGTTATATAATTATGCTTCTAAAACAATTTTCAAACATCGCAGAATATGTAAAAATATTTACGGCAAATATTTGTTCACAGTATATGTTATTATTAAAATATATGAATTCATTTCTTATTGAAAATTTTGATTTAGACTTTATGGAAAATAAATTTCTAATTACCTCCCTTTATTAACATGAAATGAGCCGCGTCACGACAAAACCAACAAAGTGGGTTTGCGACCAGTATGGATCAAGACCAGCCTGTGCATCCGCGCAGTCTGATCAGATCCATGCTGTTCGCTTACAAACTCTATAACAAGTAGTATAACAAGTAGAAAAACTGATAGCAAACAGCATGGATCCTGATCAGAATGCGCTGATGCGCAGGCTGGTCTGGATCCATGCTGGTCGCAAACCCATTATGTTGGTTTTGTCGTGACGCGGCTCAAATGTAAATTCGTTAATATCTTTACAAATAATGCTTTTTGGAACTTAAAATATTGATACATCTTCATTTGAGCATTATATTTATGATATAAAACCATACAAAATTGAGTTACAGGAAACAAATACATATGAGGCCATTTTTAGCCTGTCACATGTCCAAAATTTTCTTGGCACATCCCCCTTCTGGCAACCCCTGATGTAATATTTGGATGGGGACGGCGCCAAAAAAGTGGTCACTTTTTAAACAACATTTCTCAAACGAAAAACAGTGTTTTGGGCCTAAATAAGCATTTTTCACTGTCTGAGGCCTCAAAAAAAGGGGGGCAAAAAGCCGTCGAAACACGCTTATATAAGGAAAAAGGTTAAGAAATTACCGATAAATGTGAATAAATGTCGTAAAGGTAGCAAAAATGTAAAAAAGTAGCATTTCTGAGACATTTTTTACCATGCAGTTTCAACTAAAACTCAACAATTGAGGCAATGACAGTAACAATTTTTAACTGAGAATTATAGACACGTGTCCTTCAGTATGCATTTTTTTCTAATCGGATATGGTCTTCCCTATATAAAAAGCAAAAACAAACAACAACAACAACTGATGCGTTTTCAAAGTCCGTCAGTGTATTTAACCAGAAAAAAAGGAAAAGTAGTTGTCTAGGTAATGTGTATATAATTTTATTATCAACACTATGTTTAGACTTGACCAATAACAAGCTTTAGTCATCAGCTAATTTTGATATTTGTTTTTATTCACAATTCCTTTCAACAGCTTCAAACCAATGGGTAATTTTAAAAAAAAAAAACCTAGTTGTCCTTCAAACAAGTCATATAAATTATCATTCAATTATGTACATCTAACTTGAACTAGTTAAAATTATTCAAATCTTAGAAAATCTCTTTGTCAGAGTCTAGAAAGAAGCCAGAGCTTTGATATATGGTAAATAACATGGATTAGTCCTTAGGTCAAAATTGAAGCTCACTGGAATTCTGATACTAAGACCTACATAAGAATACAAATTTTAATCTTCTTGCCTTCGTATATAAATGTCCCTGGATTCAGAAGTTGCCCTATTTTGTGAAAAACGAGTGTAACTTAAAACCAATGGGATTGTCTTTATATATATATATATTGTTACATAACTTTGCCAAGATAAGTCTTTTACAGGTCATACAGATAGTGGATCTTGCATAAAAAATACCATTTATATCCCTGGAATATAGAATTATCTTAACATCATTTTGTTAAGAAGCGGGGAGTGGATATATTATTTATTTATTTTTATTTAAGAAAATGGATGTGTCGGGAAAGATAACTTCGACATCGAAGGCAAACCTCAACCTGTATTGCATTCCGTGTGACACAGATGGATTAAAGGTACCGGCTTACGGATTTTGTCAGGACTGCAAGGAACATCTTTGCAACAGTTGCTTTCAATATCATAGAAGGTCAAGGCCATCTAGACACCATGTACTACTTGAAAAAGACGCAATGTCAACAAAACAAACAGGCGTTGACGTAAATGCAGACGTCATTATTGACAACTGTACCAACCATAGGGATAAACCATTGGAGTTCTATTGTAACACACACAAAATTGTAGCATGCTATGTCTGTGTTACACTTGAACACAAACAATGCAAATTTGACTATATTCCTGATGTTTCAGGTAACGTATCTGGCGAGTGGATAGATTTGAACAAAAAGATGAAAGATTTAGTCAAGAAATGTGAATATAACATTATGAAGGCTTCAGCTGCTACAAAGCAACTAGAACAAAGTTGTGAAAAAGTTGTTGAAGACATACGACTCTTGAGAAAGGAAATAAACAATCAGTTAGATCAGATGGAACCGGTAATGTTATTAACACAGCAACCTACAAAGTCAAGAATATCAAGGCTGCTTGCAAAAAATAGCCGAGGAAGTGAAACGTTCACAGTCAATTCTTAATGGCCTGAAGGAAGCAAACAAGCATAATAAGCTTTTCATTGAATTGAAAAATGTCTTCGTGTGATGACACTGGAAAGTGAAGAAATACAGATTGTCAAAGATAATATGACATATGACGACATTTAATTTGACCGGAACGAAAACCTTCATGATCAACTGAAAAATGAGAAAAACTTTGGAACAATTTCAACATAGAGAAAACCACCAGAAGATACTGAAATATGTGTCAATTATGAAAGATCGTACAACGCGAGTTTTCCTTCTGATAAAGAATGTAGCAATGTCATTGGGATGGTAATGGTTTCTGCCACACAAATGGTCATCGCTGATTACGGTAATAAAAAGATTAAAACAATAGATGAAAACACAGGATCGTTGTTGTTAGAGGAAACCCTGTCTTCAGCACCACACGATGCTATAAGACTTCCGCAAAATGGATCGTCGTATAGATGTCGGAGAATGGTGTTATTGTGTAGCATATTGTCAGGACAAGCTAGTAGTAGGCTGTAGTTGCTGTCCAGGAAAGCTGGTTATTCTGGGTTAAGATGGACATATGATTCAGGTGTTTGATACTCCTGGATTGTTTAATGGACTTGAAAAGATAGTATCAGCAGTGATGAGAAGTTCATTTATGTTAAATAACAACCTTTCAATTACATATTTACATCTCCAATAAGTTTCTCAATTTTGAATCTAATTGATAATTCTGCTCTGAAGAAATGTTAACCCAATGTTTCCTTTTAGGTATGTTAATAAAAAATAATGTAAATTTGACTTATGCTTAATTATAATAAGCAAATGTTGCATACCTCTATTAATTCCATGACAAGAAAAGGAAAAAGAATATTTCAATACACGTAGGAAGACAAGTGTAAGATTTGTAATACATGTAGTTACTTAATGATTTGTGTTGACTTCATCAGTGAGTTTGAAAAGAATTTTACTATTGACATGTCACATAACTTGATATCAGCTGAATATAAAAGTTAATTTGTTGACCATAGATATATATTATATTGCAGAATCGTTACATTCAAAATGTTATATTTCATACTGATCGAGATGAAGAAGAAACTTTTAAACAATACATGGTTAACCTAATTATTTGTGTGTTGTGGTAGTGAATGAAATGCTATGTAGTGTTGATTTTACAAATAATACCTGTATATAAATCACATGTTTGTATGATGTACTGAGACTAATAAATTTGATTAATTTTATACGACTTGATTGGAATAACGTTTATATCCCTGGTTAATCATTCGTTTATTTAATTTAATTGAGTCAAATAATACATAAACACGTTAATAAAATCATAGTTGAATAAAGTGTAATTAGAATAGAGCTTTACAAAGATTTTATTATTTTATCGATGAAAAATAATTCATTATAGATTCGGTGTAGGAATATTGGGTAAACACTAATGACTGGTGTGCGTTGAACCCTCTTTAAAGTAACGGTTCATAGAATGGAAAAATAACACATTTATACAAGCAATTCTTCAAGTCCATTTTCTTGGATTTTGCATTATCGCATGATGCGGCGATTTGTCTTTGATGTTCCTCATCTGTTGCGTACGCAAATAACATGCTTTTTATGTAATTTCATCTCGCCAGAAGATATCATAATAATTTAAAGATACATAAATACACATCTATTTTTTTCAATTTTCAATGACAAGACACATACTAAGAATTATTGCAAACTAAAAATTGCAAAAGTGGTTCCTCTGTTGGATTTGCTTCATCATCATTAACAAAAAATAAACAACATCAGCAGCAGCAACAACATCATCATAATCATTATTATTATAAGGTATAGTATATGTACTTCATATAATAAGCGCCATATTAACACAGCTACAGATGTTTTTGAACTCAAAACATATGTATTTCAATATTTCAGGTTAAATGATGAATTTGAATTTGGCCGGTGCTATAGAGCATGGGCGGTTGTTTGCACTTTCCAGTACCATCAATATACAGGCTCAATTAAGCCGAGCCTGCAGTCATCAATTTTGCCGTTTTGTGCGCTCGTTAGAGATTCCTTTTTCTCCCTTCTTTACCGGTACTTTGACTTTATACATGTTTTTATTTTTGACGCCAGGGATACTTCTGTTTGATTTGAAATGTTGTTCTATAGTATCTTTTTTCAGATTAAGGGCTTGATAGCTTAAACAAGACTGATATAATTTAAAAGTGGATTAGTGAATTATACATGTTGGATGTTTCTTAATTAATTTTGTTTCACCTCTTTCATATTTAACTGTTGAATACTCATTAAACCGGTTATATGGGCGTAGACAGTAACTTGCACCTTCCACCACCGTCTAAGAACAGACCGATCCTGCCACATTTTTTAATTGTGCACTTTAGAAAATTCTTTACGAATTTCTATTTTCTATTGAATTGCTCGTGTCATATGAACGTTCTTAGCGTTTTGTTATGTTTCTGTTTTTTTTTTAATTGAAACAATTTTTTTCAAATTTGGATAACCAAATCCGTAATTTAGATAAATCGTTAATCAAAATAATATGATGCGATATATTAATCTATTAAAATATTATGGTTTTAAATTGTATGTCAACATATAAAGGATTTGCATCATAAAATCATAAACAATATTTCAATAATGAAATAATCGACATATAAAATTAAAGTAAAGAATCATCTATATAGATAAATGAAATTATTATCGTATCGGATATAGCTTAAATGAGTGTTTATGTATGGTTTCTGTACCTTAAGTTGAATATGGAGTGATACCTTAAATATTTTCTTTTAACGATACACGTGTATTTCGTGGGTTGGTAGGGTATATATAGTGTTTTCGCGGTTTTTCTTCACTCGACGCTTGCATTTGGTGGTACTTAAATAACCTGTTTAAATACGAAATTATGAGTGATGAAGAAAATCGGTATTCTCAGCCACGTGGAGAATCGTTACAAAGAGCAGAAATTGTTGACGAACTGAAGAATTATTTTGATTCTAAATTCAACGACTCCAAGAGGAGCGTTCAGACTGATACAGAGTGAATTGCAGAAGCTACAAGAAAAACGGTTAGAAAAAATTCATCTGTTACTTTAAAGGGTTTATCTAACAATTAACAGTATCAATTCAATTGTGAACATGATGATATGCTCGACACTATTGATAAGACTATTTCGCTAAGAAATGCAGGCAAAGCTCATGAGTATATTTCTGAAGCAAAACATCTTATTAAAAGAAGAAATAAACTGATCAGAATTGCTGACAATTCTCCTTCCGGTTGGGCCACCATGCAAGAGTATAAGAAATTGGATGTGGCTAGCGATTCTGATGACGTTAAAAGAATTCGTAAAGCTGAAGACCGGGCCAAAGCTCGTATCGAAAAGGCCAAATTGTCTACTTAATCTAACCAAAGCTCTCAGTTTAATTTTCGTAGCTTTTGCCGAACACCAGAATCTAGATTGGTCATGGCTGGCGGATCCTCATAGCAACAACAACTTCCCACAACAGTCGTTTGCTTCAAATGTGGACGGTTGGAACACATCGCATCTGGATGTACACATGTCAGAACCGGTCCATATACAAGACCCATGGGTACCTCAACAGAGTCAAGAGCACCTGAATGTGACAAGCAGGAAGTCAAGATTAATAAACAATGAATTACAAGACTCTTCTTTTGAATATGATAAGTATTGGTTTTTTGATAATTTGCACTCTGATTTTTCACATTTTTGCCATCACGAGATATTTTGTGAAATATATACAGAAAGTAGTATTAAAATTTCTGATTATTCAGTAAAAGGTCGATTAAAACATGCTTTAGAATTTTGGGAAACTTCGATACAACCTAACGATGATATTCTTAATTATTCCTCCAGTTTATTTGATACCACGGGCTTTAAACCATTTATTATATTCTAAAGCCAATGGTACATTAGTAGCCCCTTACTGCCTTCGAGCCCTTATCCCCGATGATTTTTGGGGAAATATCAAATCTTAAGCAATTTGTTTGTGAAATACTTTTGTTTAATGATCCAAAGGATATATATGTTCAAGGCAGAAACAAAGCAACTATTTTTGGATCTACGTACTTTACTAGCATGGTAATTGTTGCTAGAATAGAATGTTGTTAGTTTTGACTCATATATTTTATGTTTAATGATTGGTTAAAAGGTCAATTTTTTGTGAAAAGCAATGCTATAATTAAGCATAATGAAATATTTTGTTTTATTATTGTTTGTCAATTTTACAGGCATTTTAACCAGTCAGCGTTGGTTAGATGTACAAGAAATGTGTAGATTTTTGCCTAAATACCAGAAGCTTTTCTCAGAAGTGAAAGACGCTGTGATGTATAGCAAATAACATATGATACGTAAGTATAAATATTCTTTTGTAAATTTTCAAAATGGTGTATGCAATAACAGTTTTCTTTTTTGCCTGCCTCACCTGTAACTGTAGCACTGTATTTAGTGTCTTTAATACAGTTCGAGAATGAGTGTTGTGGGAAATCAAAATTGAATACAGCGTTTTATGCTATTAACTGTGCTCACGAGTTAGCTTCTTTAAAAAATCCATGTAAAGACAATTGGTTAAGATTATGTTTGGAAGGTTGTGTCAGGAAAGTATGTCGACCAGTGCAGAAAAAACAACCTATTTCTCCTGATATTTTGAAAAGATTATTACATGTATATACTTTTGCTTCTGAGAATTGTTCTCTGGGAAATTTGAGAATAGTTACCTTGTGTATTTTGTGTTACGCTGATTTTTTACGAATAAGTGAAGCCTTAGATCTAAAACGCTCTGATGAAGATTCTTTGAAGGACCGATTATCTGTGTCATTAAATCTTCATTTATAATTGACACTGTTATTAATCAATAGCCATGTGTTTTGAAGCTATTACATTATATTGTGACTTGAAATTATCACATCAAATTGTTGTTTGAATTTATTTCATCAAATAGTGATTTGAAATTATTACTTTATATATCAGTGATTATGTTTTAACCTAATATGAATCATTTGTAATAGTAAAAGTTTGATTAAGGAAGATTATATTCTTTTCATTCTGTTTGAATATCTTTTTATATCGAATGCTTGCCTTGAATCGAAGTGTTGCCCCTCGTTGGGCGGAAGTGTTGCCCCTCGTTGGGCGGAAGTGTTGCCCCTCGTTGGGCGGAAATGTTGCCCCTTGTTGGGCGGAAGTGTTGCCCCTTGTTGGGCGGAAGTGTTGCCCCTCGTTGGGGGAAGTGTTGCCCCTCGTTGGGTGGAAGTGTTGCCCCTTGTTGGGCGGAAGTGTTGCCCCTCGTTGGGCGGAAGTGTTGCCCCTCGTTGGGTGGAAGTGTTGCCCCTTGTTGGGCGGAAGTGTTGCCCCTCGTTGGGCGGAAGTGTTGCCCCTCGTTGGGCGGAAGTGTTGCCCCTCGTTGGGCGGAAGTGTTGCCCCCTGTTGGGCGGAAGTGGTGCCCTGTTACGGTTTTATATAACTGTGTTATATAGTTTTACATTTTTTGCCTGAAACTACGAAA